TTCACAGAGTGCTGTGTCCAAGCATATCAATGGAAAGTCTAGTGGAAGGGCAAAATGTGGCAGGAGAAGATGCACAAGCAAAAGAGATGACCGTGGGCTTCAGCAGATTATCAAACAGAGAAGATTCCAGAATCTGGTAGAGATCCAGAAAAAGTGGAATGAGGTGGGAGTCACAGCTTCAAAAACCACTACATTCAGATGCATCTGGGAGATGGGCTACAACTGTCGGGTTCCTAGGGTCAAGCCACTTCTGACTGAGCCAACGTAGGAAGGGTCTCAACTGGGCCAAGGAGAAGATGGGCTGGATTGTTGGCCAGTGGTCCAAGGTCCTCTTTTCCGATGAAAGTAAAGTGTGCCTTTCATTCGGAAATCAAGGTCCAAGGGTTTGGAGGAAGAACAGTGAGGAACAGAACCCATACTGCTTGAGGTCCAGTGTGAAATATCCACAGTCAGTCATGATTTGGGGTGCAATGTCTGGTGCAGGTGTTTGTAAACTCTGCTTTCTTAAATCCAAGAACATCACCGTAACAGTATACCTGAATGTTTTAGGGGACTTCATGATTCCTTCTGCTGAGGATCTGTATGGAGATTCCATCTTCCAGCAGGACCTGGTCCCTTGCCCATGCCACCAGAAGCACCAAAACCTGGTTTGATGCCCATGCCATCACAGTGCTTGACTGGCCAGCCAACTTGCCGGACCTTAACCCCATTGAGAATCTATGGGGTATTCTCAAGAGGAAAATGAAGGGCACCAGACCCAACAACAAAGAAGAGCTGACAGCAAGCATCAAGGAAATCTGGGTTTCCATAACTCCCAGGCAATGCCACAGGCTGATTGCCTCAATGCCACGTCACATCGAGGCAGTGATTAAGGCAAAGGGATTCCCAAATATTGAAGATTGACATATTGTTTTGAAAGTGCCAAATTTTGATTGGTTTGTTGTAATCCTAATTTCTTTCTTTTTTTTTCTGCAAAAACTGAGAAGTAGTGTTGGTTGATTTCTTCACAGTATTCTAATTTTTTGAATTCCTGTTTTCTTGGGTTTCATGAGCTGGAAGTCCAAATTATGTAAAAATAAACAAATGAATAATTGAAATTGTTTAAATTGTGAGTCCTGAATCTATCATCTATTACAGTTTAACTTTTTGAA